TTAGCATGAGTTATTTGATAGAGTTACCAATGGCTAGTTAGAAGCAGACAAATAATTAAAACTCAGATTGGTCTGACTCCAAAGAATCTTTTAGTATCATGTGCCAGCGTAAGGGAAAAAAATGGATATCAAAGTTAAACACAAAATTATGTTAAAAGTACTATTTTGCCATCTTCTGGGATTTGAGAAGTTTATTATACACGAGCTTTGCTAAAGATATCTGACTAGTCTATCGGTTTTGTTTTTTACCTACTGTGTAAATTTAAAATAAAAATTCAGTAAAAAATTTAGTGCCTATTAATAAAGTAACTGTAAGTCTTGACCAATGAATCCTGAAAAAAAATCTTCAAATATATTCAGTTTAATCTACAAACTTCTAATAACAGAACCCTCTGTTTTAAATCATACCATCAATGCGTAACAAGACTTCAGATTGTTTCCTTTATCCTCAATTAAAAATTTATATATTCAAGAAATTTAAGAATGCCATACCTATATTATTAATTTAAAATTATTTTATTTGGTGATGTACCTATGAAAGACTCTCATAGACTTAATATTCTTTGCAATGAGTATATTATTCAGAATAACAGTTTCACTGATTTTAGAGTTTTAAAGAAGATACTGTTGCACATTTTTTTGTAGGATAGTCTGGCCTTAGCATTAAGTGGAAAATGGTATAACAGAATAGTTTTAGAGCCATCTAAGTTTTAATCATAAATTATATTGACTTTACTACATTTTGTTTGTGATCTGCTTTCTGGAAGGAAGCACATCAATGAAGAACTATATTTGGCTGTTTCTAAAATCAGGTTTCACATTTTCTCTCACATTTTTATCTTCTTCAGGATTAGCATGGTGCAAATACATTAATGAATGACAAGAATATTATATGAGTAATATAGTTTTGGGAGGCACTGCTCTTTTATATATAACCGTTTAAGCAATAGAATGTAAAACATATGGTCACTGAACTTCTAAATGAAATTATGAAAACCAAATTATATGCTCTTAAATAAATTAGCCAAGTTCATTTGTGATTCAGAATTCTTATATTGGTTTCTATGAGTAGTAGGAGGATATCAGTTTCATTATACTACTTACACTTTTTCATGTTTCGTAATTTGTTTTTATAGTACATCATCTGTATGTTGTATTTTATGTTCACCACCCCAAGTCAATTCTCCTTCCCTCACCATTTATCCCTCTCCTATGTCTCCCCATAACCTTTACCCTTTGGTAATCATCATGCTGTTGTCTGTCTATGAGAGTTATTTTTGTTTTGTTTTATTTTTTTGCTTAATCCCTTAAACAGTAATGGGAGGATATCTGTTTCATTAGACTATGTTCGAATCAACAGAAAAAGGTCAAGAATCAATTTCATTCTTCTAGTCGAAGCTTGGACTTGACACTTGAAGTGTCTTAATTCTTATACTTTAGGGGCTTCCAATCATTTTAAATGGGTAGGACAATGACAAGAAACAAACAGCAGTTATAGATATGGATCACAGGCTATTCTATGCCCTTTGGTTTAGACACTTAAAATCTCATTAACAATGTCCTATCTCAACCTCTGAGAGGTTCCTCTGACTCCTGTGGAGGAGGGAACACTCCCAGAAACATAGCTTAGTTGACAATAGACAGCATTAGACCTAGCAGGGATATATAGCATTTTAAAGACAACTTAAGTAGTTGTATCCTCTTTATCCAAAGGGTTCTCACAAAGAGGGAATTATTAACTCTCACGGAAAAAAAAAATGAACAGCTATCATATTTTACACCTACAAATATCTATAAATCATTAAATTCGGGGGAACTGGGATATGTGTAAGTAGTATAACTTTCCAGATAAGCTTGGTTTTGTGAAACATGCTGTTAATATTATGAAACAGTGGTAATTAAACATCTCAGGCACATTAAATTATTATTAACAGATAATATATGCCAAAGGATTTAGATTGTAAAAATGGGCAGGAAATATTAAAGTAAAAACTTAATTGAAAAGAACCAAGTAAACATTTAAGAAAGAAAAGAAAGTAAGGTTGTTATTATAAAGATAAACTTTCAGAATTTAAAAAATGATTGATATTTTGTGTTTTTCATAAATTTAATAAACTTTTGTTTCAAAAAAGAGATAAATGCATTGCAGAAACTTAGAAAATCCCCATGAGTAAAAAGACAAAAATAAGAACACCATAGTAATGCTATTCAGAGACAACTACTGTTTAGGGTTTTATTGTATATTATCGCAGATCTTTTCATACACACACATGTGCATGTGCACGCATGCACCTGCACAGACACACACTCAATTTTTCCTTAATCGAGATCCTACTCTGTGTTACCCAATCTTGCTAATTTATGGTCCACATGTTTCCATGATAGTAAATTTTTATCTCATCTACTACGTAATTCCTATTCAAAATTCTCAAGTTATCTCAACAGCATCCGTACAGCTAGTTTGCACAAACTAGAATCCAATCCAGAACTGCATTTCACATCTGTATTTTTAAAACTATTAAATCTTCTTAATCAAGACCAGTACCTTTTCCATGATATTCACTTCTTAAAGAGAACATTCAAGTTGCTTAATAGAATGGCTTCGCTTCTTGATTTCACTGCTTGTTTCCTTGTAGTTAATGGTTTGTTTTGGTTTCAAGAGTTAATTCTGCTGAATATGAAAAATTTGGCCTTTCAAAGTGTCCGACAAAACATTTTTATGTGGAATTTAAATTCAGAAACTCACTTTTTACTTTTTCAGGTTGTTTCTACTTCTACTATTTCTGTAGAGTAGGAAGGAAAGAAAAAAGGTAAAGAAATATAAGTCAAGGAACTGCTGTGAGAATATCAAAAATAAATGCTAAGGATAAAAAAATAGAGTAGTGACTGTCTATTGAGTTTTTGAACATTTTTATTTTTTATTGTCATGACAAAACTGAGTAGTAACAACATAGAAATTGATATTCACTAAAATGAGATGAAAAGAACAGAAACACACGGCTCTTATTTTGTTCCTTGTTCAGTGATCTTAAAATGAAAAACAAAAGAAACAAAAACTAAATAGAGCATTTTCTTAAAATTTACAGTGATAATGGCATCTTTATAAATATATACCATTTATTTTGCAAAATAAGAAGAGTAAGCTTAGAGTTTAGTTAAAATCTAGAATTAATAAAATGTTAGGCACTATTCTCAATCACTCATTAATACTTTGCAATTAAAAACTGGGCTGAAGAAGCAAAAATGCAACTCTTTTTATAATAGTGGCTTTCAGGGGTAATGCTAGGCACTTGAGGTAAAAATTATGCCTTGAGTTGAAAACTTAAAATATTTTCTGAAATACATATGTAACTGGCATGCTCAAAAATATGACCTTACACATACCAGAACATACCAAAATGATGAGTTTTATCCACACTATAGTTTAATTTTCTCAGCATAGCTTTTTATATCTTTAGAAAATTTTATTTAGGAAAATCTAGTTGAATTATAGAACCATTTCAGTATGCTATGGTACTTTCAGTTGTCAAAAAACAACCATTAGGATAAACTAGTTTTTAAGGATTTTCTACAGTTTTATATGACAATATAAAAAAAGTCATAATCTTTAAAAGATATGTATTCATGTATAGAAGATGCTACACAGCTTTCTTTTATAGAGCTCTTTAAAATTTTAAAGTTTTTATTTAGGATCATCTGCTATCATTATTTCTGATCTATCTTTAAGCAAAGTTTACTTTGCAAGAGCAAATAATTTTTTTCTAAAAGAATGCAGCAGTAGAGAGTAGATTCTTCTACAAATAGAAATATAAGATATAAAATATTTACTATGGAAAGCATAAGTATTCAGGGAATTTTTTTCCAGTTTTGATGCCTATCATGACTTCATGGTCAAATATGTATTAGGTAGCACCTATGTGTTTTACTCTAGGCTATTTGTTATAGCATATGAAATTCCTTTATTTCAAGGCTTTGACCACAGAAATCACATAGATACTACTGAACTCTACAACAAGAAGTTAAAGCCACAACTATTACTTTTAAAGCAAAGAAATTTTTTTATCTTAAAAAGCAATAAAAATGATCAGTTTCAAGATGATATATACCTTAACTAACAATGTTAAGGATAAATATCTCTGTTCAGTCTCTTTCTAATCCCTTGTTGGTACTATTAACACCTTTTTATGTAATACCTGATTTGTAAACCTCTTTCATGGGCATATGATGCTTAGGCACACTTTTGATAATAATAGTTACTCCTGTCATCATAACCCTGACCCAATTTTTTATCTCTCTCCGGACATCAAAGTTGTCCTTGTCAAAGTTTGAAAGAGCACTTCTGTCAATTCCTCTCTCCTGTTCGTATCCTCATGTTCTGGAGGTGTGGGGCTCAGTGTGTCTCAAGAACATTCACTTTGGCTTTAAAGCAGTGGTTCTCAACTGCGGGTGATTTCAACCGATATTTGGCACTGTCTAGTGAATGGAGGTCCAGGATGCTAACACATCCTGAAATGCAGAGACCGGCCCCACAAAACAAAAAGACCAAGTCCAAAATGTCACTAGTGGCACTGTTGAAAAAGCCTGTTTTAGAGAAAATTTAGATAATAATATTATACAATGCAATGATATAATTAAAATGCATTTTCCATTCACTTACAGATGAAAGTAACATTAAAGCAATTTTAAGTGCTCTTCTATTAACATTTGTGCATGAGTTCTTCATTATTACCAAGTTTTACATTTTCTTTTTGATGAAATGGCATGCTGTGGCTGCTCATCTCCCACGATTAGTTGTATGTGCATGGTTTATTTAAAAAAAAAACAAAAACTACTGTTTTTACAGTACTGTTTTAAAAGTTTTGTCACAAGCTCTGAAGCACTTTTATTTTCTTTACTTCTAATTGAGTAGATTTGTGATATTTGGATGCACACAACTGCTCTTTCCCCTTCCTCATCTTTCCTCTCTTCATACTGTGTTTCTTTTCCGTTTTGGTTGGCAGAACTCCTCTAATTGCAGCAGGAGTCATTGGAGGGCTCTTCATCCTGGTCATTGTGGGTCTAACATTTGCAGTTTATGTGAGAAGAAAGAGCATCAAAAAGAAAAGAGCCTTGAGAAGATTCCTGGAGACAGAGGTGACATGTTTTTTTCTTCTCTTCATCTGTTTAGGGATTTTTCAGTTAGGTTTGGCTGATGTAGATGATACTCAATTTTTAATCCAAGTGAAAATTTTGTTCAATTTCCTGCCAACAGTTTATATTTTATAGTATGTTACACAAAACTGATCAAAGAGCAGAGTATGTAGTGAAGGTAATCAAGGCATGTCCATGGTTTAAAGAGGACAAAGAGGTTGCCTTACTGAGGAGAAGACAGATCTGTTGCTTTGGGAGGAGAGGTCCCAATATTAAGCACTAGGATATTGCAATAGCAAAGCTATTGTTCTAGAAATAATCAGGATAGAGGGTATCTCAGTAGCAGAACTAGAAAAATGTTAGAGATAGGATTTTTCTGTTTCAAAATAAAGCCAGATAGACAAGCAATTTATGCTTTAACTAGGGTCATTAAATTGGTAGCCACTGATCTCACTATTCCAGCAGTGAAAAGCTGAGCTTACAGGATAAAGCTTAGTGTTGTAATCACATAGGCCTTACCACGCAATTTATGAGATGCATTTAATATTGTACATGTTAGTTATTGTGAATATGTAAATTAAAATAAATTATTATAATTTCTTTTATATTGCTACTCTGAGTTCTCTAGCATGCAAGCTGATACCTTTCACTGCACAGATTATAGTGGAAAAACAATTACAGAAGAAGATGCATTTACCAGATTTTTCTTAACACAAATACTACCACTTTCTCCTGATACACACATTCCTGCCAGGCTGAACAATACAGAACAAATCTGTTCCAAGTCATAACCTTCCCTGGGTTTGCTTTCTTTCTCGTTGTCAGTGTGACAGTCTTGACTTTTCCCCTTAACAATAATGGCATGCAAATATCCATTCATTCATAAATTCCGCACACTGATAATGAATTAAATGTTAGCTCTCTTCCTCCAGAAGTCAAAATTAGATAGAAGAATAAAAAGCTATTTACAGTTACATAGAGGAAAATCCTTTCTGAAGATTAGAGTTATCTAAAATTAGAGTGGGCTGTCCTATCAATAGACATGTGCAAGTTTTAAAAAAAGGTAGTTAATTATGTACATGGGAAAACACAGTAGTGATTTTTACTCAAATTAGATGTTTACATAAGATCAGCTTGGTTTCACCCTGATGCTTGTGAATAAAAGTCTGAGCACAGTTCATATGCTATGCACATTTTCAGCTCAGCTAGGTAGGGTGCTGGAGGCAGATAGAGCTTCCCCTCATGTTTAGCTTGGGGCAGTCAGTGAGAGAGTTCTCGAAAGTGAATAAACTAGATTTGGAGAGGAATTGAAGAGAAATTCTGCCTCTTCACTGTGCAGGAAAAAAACTCATTGTTATGAAAAGAGTTGTTTTGTTTTCTTTTGTTGTACGATGTTTTCTAAGCTGTCCTTCAAATTGCCATTTCATTACTAAGATCATACTGATTGGTTTCATAAGCAAATTCTATTTTTGTAGCAAGTTCTTATTTAGGACTAAATTAGATAATTGTCAAATTCATTCCCATCTTTTTCTCAGTAAAAGTAAATAACTATGATTTTTTACTATCTAAATAAAAGAGGAATTTTTAAGGAGATCAACTTAAATCCTTAGTATTGACACTGGACATCTGACTCAGAGGTGAACAATTTGTTACAGCATAGCCTATTAGAATGTATTTAGCATTGATACGTTTCCAAAACTTTTGCTTCAGATTGTCTTTCTTCTGTTACAAAATAAAAGTAGAAAATACATTTTTTTTCAACATTTACTTATAAGTGTATGCACTGTAGGCTTGATGCTTTGATAGGTACTATAATGTATTAGAGAGAGACAGATTCAGTGCCTATATATGGCAGGCAATATTGCAAAGTTTTCTCCTTATATTATATACCATTGCATTATTTAACAATCTTCTAAGGTAATTAATGCTATTCCTCTTTCACAGAAGTTAAATGAGAGGGGCAAGTTACTTTCTAAGCCTGTGAATGGTAGCCCTGGTATGCAAATCTATGACTGCAAACTCACCTCTCTTTCCATCCATACTATCTCGCAAAATGAAACTATGCTTCTTTAAAGGTATAATACTCAGCCCTGTATGATGTGGCTCAGTGGGTTGACTGCCAGCCTGCGAACCAAATGGTTACTGGTTCAATTTTCAGTCAGGGTACATGTCTGGGTTGTAGGCCAGGTTCCCAGTAGGGGGCACATGAGAGGCAACCACACATTGATGTTTCCCTCTCTCCCTCTCTTCCCCTCTCTAAAAATAAATAAAATTTAAAAAATACTCAATGTCCTGGAAAAAATGTGTAGACTATGCTGTTTACAAGAGCATGATAATAATAACCAAGCTGGAAGGCCGTGGTGCACTTAGCCCTGTAAACAGACATCTTGAAATATTGTGGTTGTTTTCAAGATAATTAGAGTAGGAGTAGCCCTTAATTATTCCCGTATGCTGAGAAAGAACAAGCTATTTGTCCATGTTTAAAACTCAGCTCCTTTATTTAACTTTAAAAAATAAAAGAAACTCCTATTTTAGATGCCTTTTCTTTAAATGTAGGTAAAAACCTCAAATTTGAACATAGGATATAGACTTTTTGGTATCCAAAGTCTCTTCATTGTCTACATATTATTTTCTCACATAGGCAAAAAACTGTCACATATTCACATCACTTTCCCCTTGCTGATTCATCCTCTTTAACTAAATGGCATCTAAACTATGACATCTAACATTGTTAGCCTAAATCTGCCCGCTTTGGGCTTACCTAGCCCACTTTGCGATCTGGTGTTTCTTGCCCTTCAGGCCCGTTTCACTCCCTGTAGTTGTTCCTCCTCCTCCTTGACTCCATGTCCAAACTGTTTGTGATGGCTCCAGTGTCCTCCTTCATGACCCATCGTTTTCATCATCTCAAGAATAGTTTTGAAGTGTTTCCCCTTTAGGAAGCCGAACCTAATGAACCTCACTCCCTGACATTGCTGTTCTATTCCTTTACATTTCTTAGCATTCACTTATGATCTTGAATCAATCCATAAAATTTTAGAATTTTTGATCTAGAAGATATCTAGGTCTTGCTACATAAAATGTATTCAAGGACCATCATCATACCTAGGTATCACTTAGACTTCTGTAAAATGAAGATCCAGCCCAAACCACAGACCTACTGAACCAAAATCTGCATTTTAACAGAACTTCAAGTAATTCATATGTACATAAATGTTTTAGAAGCACTGTCCAGGAATATTGTGCTACTTTTTAAAAAAAATCTTCTGATGTGTTTATCCTGGCATTTAAGTGTCAAGAAGGCAGCATTTCATTGTTTTACGAGATAAATCTTTTTAAATGAGAAATATAACTTTACTAGTGTATACTGACATAACTAAAATCTCCAAGTCTTAGCTGAAGATGTCAAAAAGGAAGGAGCTTGAAAAGTAGAATTAAGAGCCCCTAATCAGTCTCAAAGTTTTTATAAAAATCCATATATCTATATATAGATATAGATATAGATATATCTCCTATCTCCCCTAGCCTATTATGCTCTTATGCCTCCACGTAGACACACATTTGATTCTTGAACTCACCAGGCAAAGAACATGAAAAGAGAAAAGACAGGCTCTGAAGGAATGGTGACTAATCCATAATACAAAGATTGCTTTTTAAAGAAAAAGTGTGCTTGCATGTTTTTGTATGTGTAAGAAAGGGAACCACTCATGGATAGAGAAAGAGGAAGAACCACTGATTGTTGGACTGAAAGCTGTAACTTGTATCCTTTTTTTTTTTTTTGGTCTTTTCAGTTGGTAGAACCCTTAACTCCCAGTGGCACAGCACCCAATCAAGCTCAACTTCGTATTTTGAAAGAAACTGAGCTCAAAAGAGTAAAAGTACTTGGCTCAGGTGCTTTTGGAACCGTGTATAAAGTAAGTAAAAAGTAATATACACCATCAGTTATTTTAACTTTTGTCCCAGACTTGTTTTAAATAATAGCTAGAGTTAGTGCTCTTACCAATCCGATTCCCTTTTAATATCTAGAGAGAAGAAACTTTATAGTATTGAGATGTTGTGGTACAAATCAATTCATTATTTTTTATTAAGCAAGTCTGGAACAGATACAGACTTGAGAAAGCAGGAAACACTGGTACAAAGCCAAAGTGTAGTTCTTTCTTTCAATGCCCTTCTGAGCCCCTTTTGATATCATCTCCCCTTTGGAAAATTTTGTTCTCATCCAAATTGTCCAGCTCCAACCCATTTCCTTCTCCGCCTCCCCCACCCCCACACCCCAGCACCCTGTGGAATCCCAAACAGGCTCTTTTGCCCAAACCTCTCCCCATTTATCTAATCGCTTCAGAATCCGCACAGGGACATATGCTGATGTCTTAGTAGGGCAGGACAAGTTCCTAAACAACTTTTTATCTACCTGGTACCATGCATGATTTAATGAAAAAACTCTCCAGTTTTGATGCCCTCGCCATTATAGGCAGACTAAAAAAGTGCCTATATTTGTGAAATTCAGGTCAGACAGATGGAGAGAGTGACATCAAGGCTTTTCAATAGGAGAAGCATTTCGGAAAAGGGAAAGCTCAAATGATAGTATTTGCATGTTTACTTATTTAGCTTAGTTCCAAAACCTATTCAGAGGCCAGGCCAAAGATTAATGATGGTGAAAGTTTACTCTTAATGGTAAATAACAAGTATGAGAAACTCTGTTTGGTTAGTCCTAAGTTATTTCTTGCAGTGGTCATTCTTCCAATTCCCAAATTCACTATACCAGTTTTATATATTCCTTAAAGCTACATGCAAACCTATATTATTTTACAAACATATTTGTTAAAATAGATTGGATCTTAGGAATTTTTCATTTGAAAATGTTCAATGTTTTTCTATTTAAAACAAAGGATTTTAAACACAAAACATTAACAATTAAAATATAAACATTAATTTTCTCAACTTTGTGTTAAAAATAATCAAATTTTTAAAATATAAAATTGTTTTATTCTAAAGGTTAAAGTGCTGAAGTTTCTTAATATGTTAGTATGCATGTTTTATTCATTTAAATTCAAAATTATTAATTAAGCACCTAATTGAATAGAAACTACGTGAGGCTGACTTGATGCCTTCCAGATTTTAATTCTTTGTATGTTCAAAGAAACACAGCTTATCCTGTGTTTCTATTTTTATTATGCTAAAAAAAATGAAATTCCACTTTAAAAACAACTTAATCTCAAATTGTTCCAGGCGTATTATCACCCTTATTTTTTTAAATTTAATAGGACTTAGAAATTGAATATTACTTAAAATAATGGATACCATTTAACTCAAGACTAAATATGATCTTCTAACCTCAGCAGGGAAAACTATTACTTATTTAAACATTTTTTAAAACTTTATTAATATTGTCATTAAGAACAATTATTTGCTTGTTTTTCATGATGTTTTACCTTTATTAAAATTACTTGCATTGAAAGGTTATAGACCGTTCCATAAGTATGTTTGAATTCAAACTGCAGTATGTATGGTTGACCATATGCATTAATTAACATGTTAGTTCTCACAAGGACATACTTGTCTGAAATATGAAGAATTATTCTTGACTACACAAATGCAAACTGACTTAAGCAATTATTTAGTAAATTATTTCTCCTGGTTGGAGATATGCTGTGTTTAAACAAAAAGATCAGTCAATATTACGGGTATCGGCATAGTCAGATTTTTGCCTGGTCAGATCTAGAAATTAATTATTATACTTATTTAAAAAGCAGTACAAATTAGCTAACACTGAATTTATATTTTTAATCTCAAAAGTATGTGTTAGTAATATGTTAATATAGATGCAGTATCTGTATAAATTAATCCTCTCTGCAGTTACTTTATTGAATAATGGTAAGTCTGTTTTCCACCCCAGGTACATCAGTGAGAAAATGTACCCTATGGGTCTTGGGCTTCTGGTTTGGTTTGGTTTTTGCTCATTTAAGCATTAATAATTTTTGAAAATTGTTATACAAAAGAGAACTTGTTATTTTGTACTTGACATATAGATTTTCCTATTTATTCTAAAAATAATGTAACCCTTATATTCACCCTCTAAAGGTTAATGTTCATTGTTTCTTTATTATTTTGAATTTTTAGTGATTCTTGTTTAGGTCCCCTCTTATATTATTCTAACTTTGGATACCACAAATACACGTTTTTGCATAACATGTGAAGAAAAGTTTTCATCTTTTCTTTATGAATACAACTCATTAATGTTAGGAAAGACAGGAATTAGAGGTGTTTTGTTCAAGAATAATAACTCTTTTTCTTTTTTCTATTTTAATGTTAAAACTGACATAAGAAAATTCCTTGAATTTCAGGTCTAACAAATTAAAATTTGAGATTTTTGAATGCAACTTTATATTTACTACTATGTTCATTATGACAAAACACTTTAAAAATATATTCTTATATAATCTATACATCCCTTTAAGCCTTACCAGAATCATGGTTCTCATTCAAATGATTTGATGGCTTATGCAGAAATGCCGCCATTTAATTCTGTGCTTATACAAACTCTACCTACTATATACTTTCCAATGTACATATCCTGTTCAGATATCATAATTGTATTTCCATAGGAAGAGAGAACTGGCAATGCTCAAAATAAATATTTTATATTACTTCAGTGATATAAATATTTGACATGTGCACTATTTAGTAATATAGACAGATTAGCATGTGCTCAATACTTGCCTTTGAAAACTAATTCTCAAATAATCACCTTAGAAAATTAATTCTTAAATCAGTCTGAACTTCAGGAACATGAGAAAATGCATTTCTTTTCATTTTCCTTTTAGTTTCAGAATTAATTAGATGATATTAAGGCTGCAAAGAACCTCCGATTTGCTTAATCCAAACTTCTAAAGTAAAAACGAGATAACTGAAGTTCAAAAATTTGAAGAGCCTTCTCAAAGTCTTGCAAAGTTGAGGATATCATTCAAATAAAATATTATTTTCTTATTTTAATTTTTTAATTTTTATTGTATTTTTTCCAATACCATTTAGTCCCTTTGTACCCTTCTCACCCCTGCAATCAACACACTATTGTCCATGTCCATGAGTCCTTTTTCCTTTTTGCTCATTCCCTCCACTATTCAAAGCCTTTTAATGCACACAAATTGAATTTTATAATAGTGTGAACACCTTGAAAACAGAATACATGTATGATGCATCTTTAAATACTGAAAGCCAACAACAAATTGGCTGAGTAACTTCTAACATAGAACAGGTGCTTGATAGATGTTTGTTGATTAAATGAAAGAATATAGAGTTACTAAATTATCTTTAAGTAATTAATAGGTTGATTAAAATTGTATTAGTCAAATTTTATGTATGGTGTGAATATTGTATACATTTTAGTAAAGATTTAATGCGGTTTTTCCCCCCAAAGGGTATTTGGGTGCCTGAAGGAGAAACAGTGAAGATTCCTGTGGCTATAAAGATTCTTAATGAAACGACTGGTCCTAAAGCCAACGTGGAGTTCATGGATGTAAGTAAACACACAGGCAATCCCATTTTTATCTATTATTAATAGACTGCTTCTAGAATTGAAAAAAAAAGTGTTGAAGTTTCTTTTCTGAAAAAGATATGATCTTATCAAAATTAAAGGCTTGAGCGAGGTCAGTAAACTTTTGCTTAAAAGACCAACAGGCTTTTTCGTGCAATGTGTTCTCTGTGGCAACCACTCAGTTCTGTCCTTCTAGTAGGTGTGCAGTCATGGACAGTTCAAACCAAGCAAAACACAGGAAGAGATGTGACTGTGTTCCAGTAAAACTTTATTTACACAAACAATCTGAAGGACAGATTTGGCCTCAGGCCCAACCCTGCCCTTCAGGGCTACGTGTTTATGAATTTGACAAGCTGCTTTTGGACGTAGTGATGATGATTTAAAAAATGATTCAGGCTGCTGGATTTTATTGTTGCTATGATCTGTTTAGTTGAAAATATGAGTAATTATTAATTAATGTAGTAAGTCTCTATTAAATTAGGAATCTAGCTGTCAGATAATTATCCATTGAAATTTACTTTTTTCAATTCAAAATCAGAAGATCTTACAGGAAAAGAAAAAAATCTCTAACTATAAAATAATAAGAGGGTTCTGAAGAATAAAAGTACTTTAAAAGGTCAATTTGAACTTTGATATTTCCCTAGTAAAAATTGTGGACTGAGATGTTCAGCAAATTTCAGAAGGTAGGAGAAATGGAATTATACATATAGCATATGTTATTTTTTCACATTCAACACAAGGTGTCTTGTGAGGGGTTCTTATCAAAGATCCATATATAGTCTTTCTTTATCTTTTAGAATAATATCCCCAGTAATAAGAATGATTTTGATTTTCAAATAACCTTCATATGAAAAATGATGCAAGCATATGCACTTTGATTTCTTTCTTTCTTTCCTTTTTTTAAAAGATGGATTGCTATCTACGTCTATCTGTTTCTCTTATAAGCTCTTATGTAAGTCTGAAAGAGCTCGTTTTGTGAGCCCAGGAAACTTTGTCTAGGTATAGTGCTCACTATCTTATATAGGGCTACTTTCAATTTAACTTATTGTTGGTAACAATAGGGCTGATAATGAGCTAATATGAACCTGTTGCTCTGATTGGCTGGCACCTTGCCTTCCCCGCTACTAAATACGTTACATGCCACACTTGTTGCATATTTACCAAAACCTATCCAACAGGCATTGAGAATAGTAACTAAATAATGCTTTCCTCTGTAGGCCTCTAAAAATTCTGGTACTCTCCATCTACATATCCTGGCTCATATATTAAAATCTAAAACTGAAGCCTTTCTCAGTGATAAAACAATCGATTTGATCTTGCTCTAAATTTGTAAAGAGACTTTTCAAAGAAAGTAAAAACTAGAAAGACAATGACCATGTGCAAAAGCAGTGTAGGTTAATGTGTAAAACCGATAGAAAAAAAGATGTTGGCCAGCATAGACTGAAGCCCAAAGCTGAAATTCGCAAGAATGCTAATGATCTCTGCTGGAAGCTTGGACAGCCATTTTTGTCATATTTCCATGGAAACAGACTGGCAAAAAGGGGTTAAGAGGCTACAAAATAATCACCTAAGAAAGAAGCTCTAAAAACCTCATCATGTTTTTGAATGATTATTTGAGAGCTCCTAACCCCATCTATTTCTTTTTTTTCCTGATTCGAGGTCTATTCCCATGGAAACATGAGTGGGGATGGCAGCTTTGAGTGTTAGGTTTCTGTTGATTTTTTTAAACTGCCTTCCTTCTTTTTCTTTTTTCTTTTTTTTTTTATTGTTGTTCAGTTACAGTTGTCCCCATTTCCCTGCTTTGGTCTCCCCTGCTCCGTCCAACTTCTGCTCCCAAAGAGCTGTCCTAGATGGTTAATGAATGGTGACTAACAGACTCCAAAGAGTCTGTTTTATTAAAGTTAAAAAAAAATAAGGAAAATATTTTGACTATGCCTATTGTACCTTGTGGATTGATGCTAAAGGATTAACAGATTGATGCATTACTACCAACGGAACATAAAGAAGTAACAAGCAGAAACACTTCCTACTATTTTCATGGCTTACTTAAAACTTTAGAGTAATCGCACAATGATTCAAACACAGTTGAACTGGCAAAATCAATGCTGAATTTAGTATTTTAAATGGCCTGATATAATTGTAAGGCAAACATATGCCTACATTTCATACCTACCTTTTTTATCTCATCTCTTATGTTTGTAGATCATTATAAAAAACTTGAACAGCATATAAAATCACAAGCCAAAAGGTTTCTGTAAGCAAAATTATGTGTACTTTGTACCTAAGGATTGAGTTGAATTTGCAAATATTCCCAGGGTTATTAAGTTAAAATCCATATGGCTGACGTATGTCTTAGTCTGAATTCTTCTAGAAGCAAAAACTGAAGCTGAGGCAGGATTTGAGTGAAAGTTTATTTTGGAGGTGAATGAGTCACAGTAGAAGAGTCTGGACAAGAGACAGGGGAGCCACTAAGCTAGCTGCCACCGTGAGTGACTGGACTTTCTTTCCATCGGAGAGACTCTCTGACAGCCAGCATAGGAAAGACACCTCAGAGTTACTCTACTGATGAAAAGATTCCAGCTTCTAGTCATTGGTTGAGGGCAACTGGGAGAGAAGGGCATTAATTCTCCTGCATGTTTTACCTGCCAAAGGTGGCAAAATAGGCGTTAGTAGCAAGAGCCACTGGGCAAAAGAAAAGTAGGTAGAAATGAGCTAATACAGCACTATGATAGAGTGTTCCAAGGATAATTTCTAAACTCAAAAAAGGTTACTACGATCATGCTACCTGTCTCTTTTGCAAACTAGTGCATGTTGTATTTGTATTTCTATGCATGTGCCTTACAGCATTTTGTAGAAGGAAAATAAAACCCTTCAAAACAATGGAAACTGCATATCCTAATTAAGCACCTCTCCCCAAACTTTATACTTGTAATAGAATATTCTAGATTTAATAACATCGACTACTAGTTTTATCAGATATAGCTGTGCTTTACTCGTTGTTATGATAAACAATACAAATGCAGCAACTTAATACTAAAAACTCATTACATCTAATATTTCTACTGATATCCAAGGGCAAAGGAGAGGACTTTTATATTTTCTTAGAATTTTTACTATAGGCAAAAATAAATAAGAAGCAATTTGTGTTCTAGTAAATGCTACCCTAAAAACAAGAGAAGGAGAATTTGATCACATGGCTATTACTCAGCTCACCTGAATATGTCTAATGGATTCATAATGACAATAATAACATATCGCTAGTGGATGGTTAGGACATTCTTCAGCCCGATAAAGGAAGATCATCACATTGAGCAACGTTAAGAAAATTGCTCTAAAGTTTCACCTTTATACGAAGAATGACTGCATCTCTACAGATTCCTACTTTATTTCAAATGATACTGTTTCATTGGGAAAATGCTTTGTTTTGTTTTGTCTTTTATTTTATCCATGAAATGGTGCAGAACACATAGCTAAAAATGCAGCTGTTGGACAGGATTCCTAGAATTGGAATCTATGATCTCAAATCAGGCAGGCTCTAAAATTTCTCTGAGTTTCCACCACTGTTTTTTTTTTTTTTTTCCTCCTTTTTTTCCCCTGATACTTAACTCCACTATCACTTGACATAATTATGTTTACCTGGGGCGGGCGTATGTTTTTAACTATTGTAAATTAATCTGTTTTCTGAAATATTAATATGAAGATAAAAGAAGTTCTGCAATTATCCTACATTTCAGTGATGTATTGATAATAGCTCAACTGTATCTGAATCTTGGCTTTCCTTTCACTCTCCCTGCCAAATCAGCCGCAGAGCTCACAGTAGCATGCCCCCAGGAAATGCAGTTCAAACAATCCAGCCCTATTGTGTAAGTGATTGTCGTAGGAAAAGAAGAGTGAATCCTTTCCCTTGCCCTATACAGTAGGACATTCTATCTTACACAACTGTCATCTTGCTATTTTCTGAAGAAATTTCTACGCAAATTTTGCTTATATGTTTATCTTTGCTATATCCCTTTATGATAGTCAATGTCTTGGCTGGACTTGTTTCAATCAATGTCATATTAGTGGGGCAAAACAGAATTTCTAGGCAGCGTTTATATAGTCTCTCAGATTATAGCAGACTTACGACAAAATGGTTTGAAAAGATACTTGGTTTTATAACACTATTTTTACATTACAATATTTTCATGCACATAGCTCCTCGCAGTTAACAGTAACTCTTATCCAGATCCTATGTCATAGTGAGAGTAGATTTTTTTAAATTCATATAAACTAATCCAAATATATTTTAGACTTATTAGGTTTTTCTAATTTACATATGTGAATATATTTAATCAATTTCAGAGGTAAAAAGGATGCAAAAAAAATTTTTTAAGGACCATTACTTAGATGTCACAGGATTCTACACTGCTTGCATGATCATGAGAGTTAACCAATCTTTGTTTTCTTAAAAAAATAAAAATGTAGTTAAGAAAAGTTTGGGGTAGTTTCTTATAAAATAAAATAAATCTTCAGAAAGAGATGATATAAACTCCATTAGAAACAGAATTTTGAACCTTTTAAAGACCTACTAAAATGAAAAGAAAAATGTTCTTGAAACTTATGTAAGTTATTTCTGTTATAGTATTTTTCATTGTCCCTTGTACCCATCCAATTATTGTGTGCAACTTGGCTGGAAATGACATCATATCTGAAATCACAATTACAAACACCCCCTTCACCGACCACATTGTTCGACCCCTCCAGGTATTTTCCTATAGTACTTACTAGAGGAGCATTTTATTCTCTTAGATATCTCCCATCATTGACTCACACCTGTTTCTTACTGTCCCTCAGCAGCCACTCACCTAACATCCCTCCACAGAAAACTTATATTCATGGCCCACCATTATAATGACATTCTTACAAAAATCTCCCACTTTCTTGCTTTTCAATATTAAGCTGACAGTAAGCAGTCCTGGAAATAGTGAAATGTCTCAGTGCCA